CTGCCGAGCTAGCCAATCCGCTTGTTGTCGGTGCGTCACTCTTGTTGGAAACGGATGCATAGTTACCTGCATCCAAGTCAAGAGCCGCGGGCGAGGAAGTTGCAGAGAAGTTCCCGTTCGTCAAAGCGTGTGGGAAGATAAGGGAGCTGTCTCGAGACGAAACCGTTTCATCTGCGCACTTATCCAACTTTGCAAGCGACATCGAGGCTGGGGAACTGCGAAAGGGAAGAGTGTTTGTTGATGGCGAACCACACATATGGAGCTTCAAATGGTCCTGTGTATAGAGTTGTGGGAAGGGATCCGAAGTCTGTTGGCAAGTGTGGTGTGGTGATGACCACGTCTTTGGTGAGACCGGCGAGGTATGGTATCCATGCTGACTGCTGCCACAGGTAGGAGAGCTGTTGTTCGAGTAGTTATCAAGCTCATCCGAACCTGGAGATGGAGATGGCCAAATATGATGGCTTCTCGGGACGTTTTGTGGACCAGAAGCCATGGAAGCAAGCGCACCTAGACTCTGGGTTGATCGCAAGTGTTGTTGCTGATGTTGGTAGTAGGTTGATGACGCAGGAGTTAAAGAGCTAGTATCCGATGGATGCGGTGACAGCTCTTGAGCAACCGGCGAGGAGGAGTAATAAGGACTGATGTTGGAAAGCTCAGATAAGCAGTTTGATTGCTGGTCGGCTCCAGTAATGATTTGTTGGTTCGTGTAGCTGGAAGGCTGTTCGCCTTCAGAGAACGGTGGATCCATAGCGGGTGGAGAGGGAGAGAGACCGCTTAGGATGGCAGCACAGATTGGTCTCGTGGCAGTCTACTCTGAAGAGCACTGATTCGACTAGTGTAGTAGTGAATGGCCAAGAATGATGGACGTCCGAGTGGGAAGAAGTAGAGAGAGGAGTGACGGGAGATGGCAGGGGATTCACAATCGCAACAATGAAACAAGGGAAGCGAGTAGAAAGGAGAGCGATGATATTTGACTTGCGGAACAAGCTCTCTCTTTTAGGCAGTATGTGAAAACAGGGCTGTCTTGTTTGAGAAGAAGCTACGTAGAACACATCCGTTGAGAACAGATGGGATGAGATGCCTGTAGACGGGGTTCGCCCAATGTATCATCAATAGCATGGTTGGAGGCATAGATGGGGCCCAGTGCCAAACGAAAACTAATAGTAAAGATGAAGAGGGGGGTGCGCAAAGGCAAAGCCTACACGACCGCATCTCATAGTCAACGGGACGGTTACTGCCCGGAGGACACCCCCTTTCAAGGTTGGTGGATCAAAACCTACAAGCATCATAGCTTGCCTCGTGAGTGCCAATGTGTGTGTATGTGCGCGTGTGTGTGTTCGCGGATATACTCTGGAGTGCAAACGGGAGGAGTACTTGGTGAACAGACTTGTGTGGATGGTGGCTTGCAACCGTTGTACGTACATACATACGCCGTATGTACCTGGCACACCAAGTTGGCATGTCCCGTAGTGTTGCGCATACACACCCCGTGTTCTGGTGGAGTAGTCTGGAACGACCTGCATATGTTTAGCATGTATAGGTACGAATTATATACGGTCCAGCGCGTACAACATTGCGGTTTAAGCGTCGGGTGGCGTCTTCTCTTGGCCGACCCGGATCTCTTCCAACGTTTGATGTATTCCGCTCCCCCCCGCTGGCCATATTTCATCTCGGCCCCATCCAAGAGCATCTGGCATCCTGGGGTGAAAGTATTGTCACATCGGAGCCTTCTACATTTTCGCCAATCGGCCGCGCAATCCTTGAAGGCAGTCCGGCCGTTTGTGTTCAGGGCGGAGTCACAGTGAGGAAACGGGAGCCTGCATTCAAAGGCGATATCGCACGGCGCACCAATCAACTCCGCCCAACCAACCCGATCGTTCATTAGAGCCCTGCTTCGTTGTCACCCTGAAATCCACATGGGAGCTGTGGAAGTATCTTGCCGAGAGCTCCTCCAAGTAAATCAGCACAAGGCTGCGGATCGCTGCTGAAAAGGTGGGCATAACATCACACGTCAGGCTTCTTCACCGACAGCCAAGCGGCCTGAAAGAGCAGGCATGAGGCTCCAATAACAACAATAATCACAGCGTGATAGGCGAATTCAGATGAAACAATCTTCCGTTCCGCTTGCTATTATGTTGCGAGGAATCAGTCGCTCCAGTAATCAAACGCCGCAAGGATGTTTGAAGGGACCTCGTGCCGAGCCACAAACAGTTCGCCTGTATTAGCACGCAAGAAGAAATAGTACCAGAAATGGGCAGTGCTTTCTGTGCTTCATTCCATCTACCAGTTTCGTTTGGTCTTGTGGGCCGCTGGTAGAGAAGCACGCGACCTTACCACGCCCTTGATGGTGTGCCTAGTCGTCGTGTGCAGGGCAGGATGAGCCACTGACGGTAGAGAACATGTCATAGGAACCATGCTTAAGCAAGCAACTGAAGCAGATGATGCTAGAGATGGTGGTACAAAAGCGGCCGATCCAAAGACTGATTAGCTGTAGAGTTGTTCTCACAGAGGGAAAAAAAGAAAAAAAGAAAAGAAAACTATGAACCGAGACCGCTATCCAGACAGACACTGGGTCACATTTCTGTTCAGGAGCCATCACATAAATGCTTTTCTGCATGCTTTCCTGTATGCCAATCATCTCCTTCGTTTAGATGCAGTAGAAAGGTCGTTGTCTGCTTGAATGTCATGCAGAAGGCTGCATCCCCGGTAAGGCAGCTACGCGCATCATATACCTTGATCCTGGCGGTGAACAAATGAAGGTTGGTCCTCTCCTACTTCCTGTAGAATACCTACACCAAAGGTGTTAGTTACCTCAAATAAAAACAGCATTGGTCTCATTCGGGGAATGGAGAATTGACGGGATCCCATACCTTTTTGAATTGGAAGTGCAGCTGCAAGATGCCCTACAAGTTGAGAGGTTAGCCATGAATTGTCAAGTGTAGATGGTAAGCAGCTGGCTCAGATAATGTGTGCCAGGGCAGCCGACTGGTCTGGGTAGTGCTCCCCCAATGACAGAGGGGCCACGATTGCCCGACTATATCTATTCGTCCAAGAAAGAGCAATAATAACCATGGGCTCCAGAACATACCTTATCGAAAGAACTCTTGAATCCTCGGTCTCTCTTTCCGCTATAATCCCACTCTCGATCCACGATTCGAAATGCAATGTCCTCGTACGGAGCCCCCGCAATGAATCGAATGAGGCACGTATCTTCCTCACCAGCTGCGGCAAATGACTCTCCTCGTCTTCTTCCATGTTCTCGAATGATCTTGAATGTTGGCGCTCGCGTTTTATCGATAAGTTCAGGATAAAAAATGTTGAATTTGTATCCTTGAACGACCTTTGGCGGTGGATTGTCGTGATCGTAGTGGGTCTGGTTATATTTGTTCCAATCGTATCCCATCTGCACGCGGTTGAAGTATCGAGGTTTTCGAGGCCTATATTTGTCCGACCACTGTGGCTTAGAAGTACTTGCAACAGCCTCTTCGCCAGTGAAAATCTCCTCGTTCTCGTCGACACCTCGGGCAACCTCACGATCGTATAAAGCCTTTGTAGCTTTTGAAAAGTCAGAATCGTCTGTTTGAGAAAATCGAGCAGTTCCAGGTGGGGCTGAGTTCAAACTGCGGCTGGACGAGGCTGTAGCGATTGGTTTTGGTGGTTCGCCTTTTGATACCGCCGTTGTTGTGGCTGTGAGTGAAGTAAGCGATACCTCAGTTGTTGCTCGACCCTCTTGCAGTGCGGTTGCTTTTGCAGGATCCCTCTCCCTGAGCTGCTTGATTCTGTTTGACTTGATATCCTCGTACACCAAGTTCAGTTTGGCTCGAGCCTTCCAGACGCGCAGACTGCGTAGCAGCTGTTCCCAGTAATCTGTGTCGATATCTTCGTTGGACTGGAGTTTTGCTTTGATCTGCTTCTCCAGGGCCTCGAGTTGCTCATGCGTCTTTGGGGCAAGAATCTTATTGATATCATCAGAGACGCTGCCAGTGACCCGCTCATCCCTCCCTTGGAGATTTAGCTTTGACTTCCTATCCGCACAGAGTGTCTTGAGGGCCTTCCAGTACTCGCGATTCCTTGATTCCAGTTCCAGTGTGTGATAGGACTCTATTTCAGATTCCAGCTCCACAATTTGAGTGCTATCCAGCGAGTTTATAATATCTGCGGGAGCAGGAATGTCAATGTCAATGTCTGCCTCGTCATCGTCGAACACATCGCGGTCGGAATCGATGTATCTCAAGTTAAAGGCCAAATAGTCGATCGGTTTCGCACGACCTTCTCGAATTCGGATATCGGCCTTCTTTTTCGACTGTTTCAAGACAAACTTATCTTCGTCGGCGACAAATTGGCGCGACTGCTCATCTTGGGTCAAGTATCTTGCAGCGTTCTTGGACGAAGGTCGGGTAGACTTGGTGATCCGAGAGTTGGGATCGCGTCGAGGAGAGGTTATATCCCTTCTTGTCGGAGATCTACGCCTTTCGATTAGAGCCCGACGTCCAGGATCCATGCTCGTTGTGAAATTTAAGAAGCGAATAATCGATCAGAATTGCCAGGACTATTTATTAAGAGGTGGTGAGAAATGGATGAAGCAAGGCAACAACATGCTCGGAAGTTGGAATCAGAAGGAAAACGTTATCGATATAGTTATCTTATCTGTATCCATGTCATGTCACGTGCTTCAGTAACCATGTATTGTTGAAAAACTCCCATGTTACCCGCCAAGTGCGAAAAGGAGCAATTAATACCGAATAGTGAAAGATTCCTAGGACGTCTTTAGTATATCAGACACACATGGAATCACTACTCAACTCGAAATGGAGAGCTGAATGCCAGGGTTTTATCGAGCATCTTACTACAGAGTAGATCAGTTCTGACCCGCTCACTATTTTATGGAATATGTACAGCAAATTGATGGTTAGTTGACGACCCGAATGATAAAAAAATGTGGCACATAACATTTCTTTCACAAAAGACAAAAAGAATTGGATGGCGTCGTGAGACATTTCTGCTCCCGGCAGGGCTTGAACCTGCGACCTTCGCATTACTGATGATATCGAATGATATTATTAGTACGAAGCTCTAACCAACTGAGCTACGGAAGCCGTCCAATTTGTACTCAGATGAGCCGATGATTAGGTAATCATTATTTTATAATAAGAGTCCTAGGACTACGCGATCAGGCAACAGTTATGGCTTCAGAGACAGCAATGTGCATCGGATTGATTAAATTTTGGATATAAAGTTTTAAAATATGGGTAGAACTAGTTTTCTAGATGAAGTCATGGGGTTTCAAGTTCATGTCATCTGGAAGGAACTTTCTGTGGTTGGTTCTGGACAACATATCCATCATGGATGCTCTGGAATTACTCCAAAGTCGTTAAGACCACCGTTATCCAGAACCTGTAGGGGAATTGACATATTTTTATCCTGTCCATATCAAGTACCCCAAAGTAATGCTTCGTTTGTCATTACTCCTGTTAGCATTAGTACTGTGCCATATTATGTGCTGTCATACTTCAAATGTGCCTGGCACATCACTATCCACCCTGTACCAATGCTGCCCTTGCTTGAAGCCACAAATATCGGCAGTCCAGGCCCGACTATGGGCCGTAGGGTTTTCGTATACATTACCGCGGAATCGCTAATTCCTCCAACGTGAACTGGAATTGCTCTTAGTTTTGCCCTCGAACCGCAGGGATCATGCGAGCGTTTGAGCAAGTTTATCATCTCCTCTAATCCTGCTCTACCCAATCTAGGCATAGTCTGGTGTGAGAGGTAGCTGGGAACCACGTCTAGATAATGAAGAGGGGATCTGCACATTGCATTCATCTAGCAGTGACTTTGGAAGAAAATGGTTCCGAAATAGTGATTTGGCCTTTATTTTTTTGTGAAATTTGAGGTAGATTTTGAAGATACTGAATTCAAGCATTGACGGTTTGCCGCACGAGAGATTGACGTTGACACGGCCGGTCACCAGCCACATCAGATTGACACCGGGCCCCGACTCCGCCCGGCTTCCGGAGCGGCAGGTTTGCGGTGCCACTGACAGTTCTCCAGTGCAGCTACTGCTTCCTAGAGCAAATAAAACTAGCCTCGGCGAGCAAATATCTCTCACGCTAATAATTACGCCGCATGAGCTAACTTAAGCTTAGACGGTCAAGCATATACCTTCCTAAGCCTTACCAAACGGGTTGCGAGGTGAACTGAATGAGCATATATAAGCCATATCTTCTTGTGAACTTCACATCTGCTGGCACCAGACTCTCATTCTTTCCCTCTCATCCCCTGCCTTCCTATAAATTGGAACTTGTGCAGCATTTTTGTACCGGCTTCTCAAATACGAATTTCAGCTCAGCTCCGCTTGTACCAATATGTTGGCCACAAAGGTCCTGATCCCCTTGGCCATGGCCAACTTTGCGAGCGCCCATTTCGGCCTGGAGTTTCCCGAGTGGCGAGCCAACAGCCTTTCTGAGGATGAGAATTCGCCCTACAGTCAATACCTTTTCCCATGTATGTAACACCTCTGGCTCCCACGATCGACTGATTGCATCTTTCTAACTTCTTACTCGTATCCAGGTGCTGGCGCCGACTATGGTGTGGGCAATGTTACCGACTGGCCTCTCGAGGGCGGCGCTGTCAAGTTGGACCTCCACCATCCCTTCACCTACGTTTTCGTCAACCTTGGCCTTGGCAAGAACTCGTCCAATTTCAACGTCTCCCTGACTCCTGAGTTCTGGAATGTCACTAGCCCAGGCCAACTTTGCGTTGAGAAGCTCGAGCTCCCAGGCGGAGTTGAGCTCAAAGAAGGCGACCTGGCCAGTATTCAAGTTATCACAGTTGGCGACAGTGGTACCGCGTTGTACAACTGCGCTGACATTCGTTTTAAGAAGGGAGCTAAGGGCCCGAGCAACTGTACCTCTGATGTTGAATACTTCGAGGTTAAGGACCAGGCTACATTGAAGGAGCAGGACAACAGCAGCAGCTCTAACTCCAACTCAACAAGTGGCAAAGAACACAATGCGGCCGGTGTCTTTACCGTCAACCATGCTGCTTTGGCTTCAGTTGTTGGGCTCACTACTTTATTTGTCGCGGGTCTTGGCCTGTGAATAAAAACACGGCAGGCATGGGAAGAAGTGGGCAGAGAGCAGAACATAACGCTTATATGGTTATCAATGCGAATATGTATGCTAGAGGAAAAAAAAAGATCAAACATTCATGCTCTAAAAATGTCCACAATGAGTAACAATGCTCCGTATACTCCGCAATGAAAATGCTTCAAGACGACGCTATTCTGTCGCCACAATGCTTGATGTTCAATCTGGATGATGTTAGTGCAAGTTTGCTTCCGCCTCCCCTCTTCCACCTCAACTCACCCAGTCATATCATACACCAGTTTTTTGGCTTTTCTCACATAAAAAGAAGTTATATAATACTCCATCTCAACTCCAAAAAAAATAGATAAACCAGAGCGGAGCGTGATTTTCAACGGTCTTTGTAATCGTAGATCCCTTCGTTAAATCTTTAAGTCTAGCCTCTTGGGGCAGTCGTTCCATTTCAGCCGGCGGTGAGGGTCTGGTCTGCAGCCAGCTCCTCCAATACCTTTGCCATAGTGATCCGCTGCTGGGGATTCGGGGTGAGCATTTCTTTGACCAATCGCTCAAGCAAACTCTTCGGGTCTAGCTGCTCTCGAGCTTCATGAATTTCCGTCAACCACTCGCGCATCTGGATGACCGCTGGCTGTCCACTACCATATTGCTTATGCGCGATTCCGGGGTTGTTAACCCCCGCAATTTGCCAGTATAGTGGCCGTGGATGTTGGCGTCGGGCACGGCAGTCGGGAAAAGGGATCTTGTGCAATACGTACAGCATGGTGACACCAAGTGCCCAAACATCTGACGCAGGACCGCGGAGTTTACGCCCAATAAACTCTGGTGGGACGTAGTACGGCGTTCCGCCGCTGTTTGGCGAGTTGCTAGCCAATGTTGAAAGCCCAAAATCACAAAGGACAGCACCGCGCTCTGGGGAGTACAGGATATTCGCGGGCTTAATGTCGTTGTGAACCAGCGTGCGCCCATGAATGTAGCTCAGTGCACTGGCAATGTCCGTCAAAATTCTCCATGCGTCATTTTGGTCGCCTTGGAACTCATCATTCGCTTTGTTTCTCCATCGAGGAGCAGCCGTTAGGTCCTTAGCATCTACGTGCTCCATGTATAGAGAGAGAAAGCGTGCATCACCACCGTAGTATCGAACGATGGACTCGTGCTGGAGGTCTTCTTGACTCTTGCACTCACGCAACCACATGTCGGCTTGGCGAATGACGTTCCGTTCGTGCACATAGGGCTTGTCATTGGGATTCGTGACGCGTGTCTTAAGCACCTTGACCGTAACAAGATCAGACACCTTGGAATGCTCAGCGGTATAGACAGCTGACAACGATGTCGACGCAATCGGATCCCGCTTGGTCAGCTGATATTGATCGAGCTCACACACTCCTGGCACCGCAATAGTTTGGCCCTTTTCAGCATCTAGCAGTGGTTGAGCATCAATGGCAGAGAGTTCTTTACTTTCCCGACCATTGGGAAGAGGAAAAATGAGCGGGTCGGCGGCGGGCCTCAAGAACATGATAACACCATCATCCCCAGGTGTATCTGGCATTGAGACACGGCGCTTAACTCGTTTCTCATCCAATTCTGGAGTCAAGGCCCGTTTGCCACTGAAATTGATCGAACTGGAACCGCTCGACGATGAGTCCGTCTCTACCAAGGCAGGTGGTTGGGACTCATACAACATCACTGGGCGCTTCTCTAGGATTCTAAAGTCCAAGACCGCAATGTCCCTGACAGTGATGCGCCATGTTCCTGGCTTCAACGCCTTGGCCAATCCCGGGTTGATGATGAGTGCGGCGCTGAGAGGAGGACTTGACAGCGGGGTTTGGGAGACGCCAGAGAGAGAAATGGGAACATCCGACTTGTTTAGAAATATTACCTTGTCACTGGCAGGGTCATAGTACAACTCGCACCACAAGGGAGGCCGTGGGGCATCGTCTTGAGTCTCACCAGGGATCCGGACAGAGAATTTGATATCCTTGGAAGTCTGAGTCACCGCAAGAACCTTGTGCTCTGGTTGATCCGAGGAGGCTACCTCTGCACGAAGAGCCAGCCACTGGCAACTGTCACTTCCAGGGCTGACTGACCGCGAGTTGGGGAACTTGGTTAGAGGGCGGACAAGAATACGTATACCCTGCCTGTGGTGATGGTCCTCGACCTGGAGGATGTCGAGAGGGACATCCTCGGGGTTGGCCGGTGGAACGGGTTCCTCGACACGGATGCCCTTGAAACGAGCATCAATCTCAGATTGAGAAAACGGCACTGTATGAGCCTCAGAGCCCTCTTCCGAGGGCTCCAGCCTTGGATCGGCCATGAGGTTGGTGTGCCTGACGGCCCATGCGAGGTTGGTAAGCAATCAAGAAGGGCGTAATGGCGGTTGGTTGAGAGGTGACGGTTGTGTCTTGAAAAAGAAAAAAAAAATGAGGGAGAATGTACCTCGGTGACGATAGGCCAACCCAGGCAACTCAAGCTGGTGGGACTTGGTAGCAGCGTAGGTAGGAAGCCGTTTGTAGTATGTGGGAGCGCAGTTATGACTCTTCGTGAAAATTGAGGACGCAGGCTGTGCAGCACTGTGCGATACTATGCAGCAAAGTGCAGTGCAATACAGTGCAGACTTGGTCCTCAGATGTGCTGAGCCAGACTAGCAGAAAGTTGTGCGTTCCTTGAGGCGAGCCGTTGTCTTGAATTGTGAATGGGTAAGGTGAGGCGACGTCAATTCCCTAGGTATGTAGGTATGTAGACGTAGAAGCAAGGCAGGCAGGGCAAGGCAAGGCAAGGCAAGGTAAGGCAAGGTAGGGTACGGGGTAAGGTGAGGCAAGACAAGGCCGGGAGATCAGCTTAACTCAGCTATGGTCGAGGTGGTGGGGACGGGGACCAGTAGGTGGGTGAAGAAGGAGGGACTCGGGCGGTTGGTACGCAGCGGTTGGCGCTGTTATTAGTCCAACTAGGTATATGCCTAGAGGCGGAAGCAAAAGGGGGAAATTGTTGGAAGAGTG